TATTATTATCATCATAATCATCATCATCATCATAATCATCATCATCATCATCATCATAATCATCATCATCATCATCATCATCATCATCATCATCATCATCATTATTATCATGAAATAAATATAAAATATAATTACCGTTCCATCCGATACAATGGCCGAGCGGTTAGCCGGGGCGCCGCAAGCTATAGCCATAATATCGGCGCTGGTTCGAACTTCACGCTCGCCAATGGTTCTGGTGGTAGAATAAGTCTTCTCGGATAAGGACTATAAACCGTAGGCCCAGTGTATACAATGGTTCGTGGGCACTATAAAGAACCCAGTACATCCTTCGAGACGAGTAGGGGGATACCCCGGTGTATTGGAACAGACAGCCCCTGTGGTGGACGACGAGAGTTGCTGGTACCGGGTTATACAGTAGTTACATTTACATCAAAAACCCTTCCTAACTTTTGGAGTTAAGGGACAGACATTAAGGGACCCTTAGGGGCGAAGAAAGTCATTGATCGAGTTCATAGTCCACACATCAAGCGCCCTGAGCATCTTACATTAGATGGATATGTGCGCTAGATAAAAATACACTATTATTTTTATTATTATTATTATTAACAAGGTTTCCTTACTTGCTGTAATCGGAAACTAATAACTCTAGCATCGCGTCCTCTGTGCCTTTAATAACAATAGATCTTGCTACGTCACGATCACTCGTAGACCTACTAATAACAATAGGCTGAATTGCATCTACAAATAAAGAAGAAAAAGAATGGTTCTATAATCAGTAATCTTTGAACATATTTTTCCCAGCTTACTTTTTTCTGACGTCATAAATAGAAGGTACCGGTAGTTTACACACTGTTCAATTAGTTATTTTAACTCCAAAAGAGTTTATTTGTACCTTTTTAGGCAAAGAATAGCTCATTTTAGAGTTAAAATAACTACTTGAAACTAACAGTGATTAGGTTACAGTACATTTCACATTGTGTGCATTTATTATTAATAGTTTTGACTTTTGAATTCCGTTAGGAAGGGTTTTTGATGTAAATGTAACTACTGTATAAATAAATATTGCGAATGCAAAGTACAGTAATAATAAATATCACCGCAGCCACAGACTCCTCAATATGTATGGTACAGTCTGTTTATTTTTTATAAATGTAGGCCTACTGCAATGTGTTTGTTTTTAATGAAATCGTAAACCACTATTGTTTTATAACTTCTAAAGAAAGAAACTGGATAATACTTTGTTCTTCCGATAACCAGTATCGCATATTGGCCTCGCGTCCATTTTCCTCAACCATCGTCACGTTTTCTTTTAGGTCAGTGGCATTACTACATAACATGATTATCACATCTGCTATTAGCATGTCTGTCATACATTTCTGAAACAAAAAAAAAACATACATGTAAATTTGAACAGCTCGGAAAAAAATCATGATCTGCTTTAGCTACGGCACCATTAAAGAGACGTGGTCAGAAAAAAAAAATATTTCAAAAAAGCGAAATAATATTATGTGGAAACAAAAACAATATTTCGAAATATTTATTTTATTCTATGAAAGAAAACTAATATTTATAATATGAAGTCAAATATTAACCACCTTACACGCCATAAAATACTATACTATTAACAATTTTTCAGTGCCAAGTATAAATTGGAATTATGTTTCTTTTGTCACTATATTTTTAAGGTTATTACAATTCCGTGAAAATACACACATGTTAAGTCTTATCGATGTTATTTTATTTTACAAAGTAGCTTACGGCATGTATCCTTTTATGTAATTAAAATAATTATTTAAAGTCGGATATTTTTTTTCAGATATTTCGTAATATAATATATCTTTAAATGCTATAAATTAAACCTACCTTCGTACGTCAAAATCAAGAGACCTCGGTTTAGCCCCGTATTGTCTCTGGTTGCCATCTCTGATATTTGTCTGGCACTAAATTGTGTCAGTGCATTGCCTTTCGCAATCCCTTGCTCAGTTGCAAAATGTATTGCGGTCGTTGATTTTGCTGCTGCTCCCACTGAAGAGCATCAAATGCATGTGCCATTAGCCCTTGTGGCATATCATTTTTCCCCCCACTTTTTTCTATGGAACGCCAAAAGGACAAAATACAATTGGCAGCAGTGCAAAACTGAGAGTCAGCAGCGCAAAACTGAGTCACCTGTGCAAAACTGAGAGTCAGCAGTGCAAAACACAGAGTCACAGTGCAAAACTGATTAGTGCAAAACACAAAGTAACAGTGCAAAACTGAGAGCCACAGTGCAAAACTGAGAGTCACAGTGCAAAACACACTTTATTAATTTGGAGGGACATATTCCATTTTTTACCTACCAGACTCATTCCGTTTTGAGTGAAGTAAAATTATGAATTAAAATAGCAATATCTTAAGTACAATCGCTTTATGTTCCAATAAATTTTGCATTTACTCCTTTTCAAATAAAGTTTTAAACAATACTTGGTGTTTTAGTGTCATTGGACTCTGTAAAGATGTTTTTAAATACTTGTATAAAATAAAATTACTTAATATTGGATTTGAGTCGCTGTCTAAAAAAGTCGAGTTTTATACGACATTAAGAACATGAGTGAAAAATATATGGCCACGTTGAAAGTTTCATAAAATAATTATAACTCCATGAGCAGACGGTTTTTAAAGGAGTTTAGAGCCCGTAATAAATCTCTGAACCTGAGGGCAGAAAATAACTATGATGTTTAGAAAAATCAATTATGTATTCTGTGAGATTGTAATTTTAAATTTTCAAAAATATTTTCCCAATGGGACGAAGTCTTTCATAGTAAAATAAAATAATATCAATCATTTTCTCTAGATTACCGAAACATAATTTCCTAAAACTTTGTGGCTCGGCTTACGTTAATGCGTAGGCAAAATTACAGGCTAGCTCACGTCCATGTATTGATCATGTGCATTATTGGTGTAGGTTTTATTGAACGGCTAGACTATGGACTAAATGAATATCAATTAAGCTAGTCGAAAATCTCATCGGTCTTTTGCTGACACCAATACAAATATGTATAGATTAGTTTATGTTAAAAAAAAATTGCTGTATTTGGTAGTAAGAAACCTGCAAGTCAAATTAACGGAGTCCCGGAATAAAAAATCACTAGAAGGGTTCATAGTGAGAATTTTCGTATTCTTACTTTTGGACCACAATATAGGGATTGGCAAACCACGGTGGGGCTGAGGTCGTATAGATCCTCCATCTGCTAAGTACCCAGTGCCGAATTCAAGGGGACCCAGCCGGCCACCCACCTCCAGATTGT